CTAACGCTACTGTTCTTTCTGGTTGCGGATCCATTATTTTTTGTAAAATGTGTGAATACGTTTGTTGAATTTTCTTGTACTGCTTGTCTTTTTGCACGTGTCTTTATTTGCAGTGCACTGAGCACTCAGGGCCACCTCAGTAGATGGGTTACAAAGAATTAAAGTACACTAATATAACAAGTTTTGTAAAAGTGTTACTGTGTTGTCCGTGCCGTGCAAGGAGACTGAGATTTATGTGTGCAGGGCCAGTATTGGCTAATCATGTCACTACACAGCCACTGTTCCCATAATATTTCATCCACCTTTATGGTCTATAATTATATCATATGTTAATTCCTCTCTGTAAGTTACTGTGCGATTAATTTATGTGAATGCTTCTGCTCTGAATGACTTTTAAACACAAACAGCTTCCATTAGTGCGTGTTCCCAGCACAGTTTATGTTATCGGATCCAGTTTGTGATCAGTGTCACGACAACAACACTGATATACAGGAGTCCTGAGTGTCAGGTGAAATACCGCCTGCGGAAAAATTGCTTGTGATTTTATATCGTTTCCATTAAATCTTGTCTTTCAAAGGCCTTAATTAATAATACACTTGACATTTATGTTTTCCAGCAATAAGCTAAGCAAGAAACGATTTATGTCACCTAAAGCTTTTTAACAAATCAATGCAACTATTTGTAATTGCTTGTTTCACAAGATTAAAAGTGCTTAGACTTGATCTCTGTCTCCTGTTTAGTGGCCAACATGACCTGTGCCTCCGTCGTAAAAACACAAGTCCTGGTCATCAGCATTAGCTCCCGTCACCAAATCCATATCGCTATTATTTCTGGAATTTTAATGCTGGTACAATTTATAGCTTATCAAATGCAGTTACCTAAATTGCTGTTAGGAAAAGACAGTTTAACTGTCGCTTTTTAATTACGATATAATTTAATGTTGAGGCTGAGATGAGAGTCCTGCTGCAGATGACAAACACGAGTCTGTGTGAAGCCCTTCTGCAGGACAAAATGATGAGAAAGAGATTTAACTTGTGCTCTGTTAATACTAACATCACATATCTTGTATTATGATTTTGTGTCCGTCAGAAATGTTAACTTTTGATGCATTGGTTGACATTGCATTAGATGGTAGCCCAGCACAAAGCTGTTTAGCATTGTAGAAAAAGCTAAATCTTCTATGTATGGAAGAGGATTAAGGACACAAGAGCTGTTGAGCAGAATGCAGAATTAGGAACCCATCTTCAATTAAATATATTCACTTTTAGTCTGATTTGCTCATGTATGGAAAAGTATTAGGGACATATGTGAAAAATATGTTTCTATTTCCAATTTCATCCTCAACGGTCACCAGACAATCTTAAGACCTACATGTATGACAAAACATACCAAAATCTACAAAACAAAAATAAACTGACACAAAAAAAAAGCAGCAGCAGTCACAACCTTGTGGGGTAACCAAATGTGATTACTTAGATTGTTATATTTTACCCCCATAGTTATAGAACACTTCTCTTTCATGTATAATGCTGTTGAGGACCAGTAACTGACTAACTAACTCAAAAAGCAATTCTTAAAAGTGATAATCTCCCATATTCTGACAAAAAAGGCAGAACTCAGATACGTTTGAACCTGTAACCCTCGATCGTAAATGTGCAAACAAAACAGAAATGTAATGCATTCAATTTAAGATGACTTCCTAATTCTGCATTCTGCACAGCCGTTCAAAAACAATCGATACCTCCACGCACACTCCGATACAAAGAGAGACACTTGCAGCCGAGGATCTGAACAACCAGCATTTTATTGCATGTTTAGAATGCTCACGTCAGTCATCGCCACTGACTACAACAGAGTGGTCTGCATCAGACAGACGAGGAATGATGAGGAGGTTACAGACTGATGGAAGTGATGAGCAATAATATTTCTCTATAAAAAAAAGAAAGAAAATAAAATAAACTACAGAGTACATCTTCAAAGGAAAAACAGAAAGTAAGAGATAGAAAAGCTGCTGCGGGATGAGAGCACCGTGACAGCTCCTGGCCC